GTCTAACCTCGCGATGTCGTGCCGGTTGGAAACAGTTCAACTATCTTGCTTGCGTATCCTGGCGTCGTTGGATAAGGGAATATCTATCAACGTTGCAGGTGCGTACCAAGTGGCTCAGAGCAACTGAAGAATTGAAACGATGGGGCTTGGTTCTGGTCTCTGGTGAGGACCTGCCTTGTGAGAAGTGGCCTCTTGGAGTAGTGGAGGCGGGCCTAGATGGCTTAGTAAGAACCCTGCATGTTAGAACGACGGGCGGCGTTTTTGAGAGAGCTATTAGAAGGTTATGTTTACTGGAGGGAGGCGATTAAGCTTGTACTCCATCGAAGTCGGCCCTCGTGGCAGGATAACCTCAAGGCCGGGTGTTTGAATTTGCAAGGACAAACAAACGTGAATTCATATATGCACACTAAAACAAATGTGGTGCGGGTTTACAAATTGTGACTGAAGATACGTGGGTAATTTCGTTTTGAACGTAATAGATGATATACCTGGGCAGTATCGCTCTTCCATTGTTTGGTGTACTGTTCCTACTCTCGCCGTTTTCCAGTAGGGTTTTGATCAATGGGCATAGAACCATTCAACAGAATAAAACAGACGCGCCACCGACGTTCCTTCCTGCCTCTTATTTTTAACCAACTTTGTATCCCTCGATATTGATCACAAAATCAAAAAGTCTCACCAAATTGGGCCCCCTTGACATGCAGGGGTGTGAACGGCCGTCATTACAAATGGCTGAATTTCCTCTACACCACTTAATTGCCACAGGCGTTTTCGGCAGATTATGAGCATTGATTCTCTTTTGTACCAAATTCCTGCAGTTTCACAGGGTGCACACCCTTTTCACCAGCTTTAGTTTGGCGTTTGATAATCTAACCCCCATTCCGATTTGAGCTCTGTAAAAGGAAGTGAGCCCAAGTGAAGCCCAGTATTATTGTATTCGTTGAAGTCTCCAATGTATGCATTTAGTGCATCCCATGGGGCAAAGATTTTCACTCAAGTCATCCTCCTACTTCCTCAGCTCCAAAGCAGTTGAAAAGGGCATATCCTATTCCCCCCTTGTCGAGCCGTCAAACACTATCCAGCTAGAAAGAATCTCATTCATCCAGCTTTGGGAACATGCTCGTTTGCTGGTGGATACTACTGATGAGGCATTGAGTAGTATGTTTTCCCGTAATTCCGCTTCGCGACTATTGAAATTTGAGATTTATTACAAAATTCGTGAAATTGCTCTGTAGCGTTCATTTGCATTTGAGTGGTAGTCAATGAGCACCCAGGAAAGTTCAGGAAGACGAGAAGAAGGCTTACATTCAGTTTTCATGAACAGGATGCGTATGAAAGTTTTGCTTTTTTGTCTAAATTGTCAGTAACCTTTCAGTTGGTGTTTCCAAATAAATAACTCTGCAGCGAAGGCCTTCTTTTTTTACATGGGGAACATACTACTCGCGAGCCTCATCAGTGGTATTTACCGTCACGCTGGTAAAATACATATCTCTCAAAGGCACTTGTGGCCGCCAATCGAATTACTCATTTATCTCAGAATAGATCCTTGGTAATGCGCCTACCCGGGGTTGCCCTTTATGGTTATTCAAGGTTCGACACTCCCTTTTATCAGAGCATGAAAACTAATCAAAACGTCGGGCTTTCAGAGCCCATTAGAGTATTCCAGGTACACATTTAAATTTGGGTCCGCAATAACAGTCTACTTGAATGTAAGCTTTCTGTTTACAAGTAAGCAGAGATTGCTGGCACCTAGTTCTTGTAACCAATCTTCACAGATGTCTTCAATAGAGATGTTCATGGTTCGAAAATTTATTTGAATTCGAAAAATCGCTGTTTTCTATCGTCAGGGAGAAACTCCGTGTAGAAACCGGTCATTTGGTTCAAAAGTTCTCTCTTAACCAAAAGAAGCTTGTTTAGGTGGGGGTAGATGAAGCTTGAATTAATTAAATTCCCTATGTCACCCAACTGATCACATTTACGGATTCATGGATTGATGCGGGTCTATTGTGCTCTTCTCGTTAAGCGTCTGCCGCTACCTTCCTCGCACTAAAACGTCTTGCGTACGATGCTTTCATCCGGCCTATGGTTGAAGATTAGTTCCAAATAGTGTAAAGGCAGTGACATTTGTTCACCAGAGCATCGATAAGCCCAGAAGAGAGTATATTATCGAAAGTATTTTTCGAGAGACCAGTTTTTGCGCTAGAGTATCTTTCAATAGACCCACTCCGGCGTTTGCATAGCAAAATATGATTAGATCCAAATCGTATCCGAGCCAGTGGGTTATATATTTGTCACTACCCTGGATTCGCTTTTCATCTTATCTCGCCATACCGTGGCGGTGATTCGTGCCCTGGCGCCATACAAACCTGCTTGTCTCCAGAATCCTCTGCTGATGACCATGAGTCATTCACTTCTGCCTTTTGGCTCATACACATGTCAACCCCGGCCCGCAATTCACCAACCAATCTCACTGCTCATTAATGATAATACTATTGATATTTTTTATTCCCGACTGGTCTGTGCCACTTCGTCATGCATGCTCCCACTGGTTCAGTCAGGATAAAAGCGGGTCCTGTGTGATTTGTGGGTACTGAGGTTTGCACGGAATTGATGGCTATCTCACAAATAGTGGACATTATCCGACGTGGAGATGGTCACGCCTAAACCGGCATGAACAAAATGAAGTGAAAATCGAGAGCTGTGAAACACAGAATTTTTCTACATTTTGCGGAATATATGAAGCTGAAGAAATTGACTGGTATTCACTGAATGCAGCATCTCTCAGCATCCTAAACGTCAACCTAGCTGAGGATTTTTACCCTAATTTAAACCCTTAAGAACTCTGTCGCGCTGGTGACCAATGGTTTTTAATCCCGTATTCACACTTTTATGGACCTTCTCGGGCAATCCAAAATCCCGCTACCCACCAAACCGCACATCCTCAGCCCAATCATCTCTAACATGATATCCGTTATAGGGCTGTTCAGAAACCGAAATATTTCAGTACAATGATGGCATGGTGCCACCATACCCGGCCTTATGGCAAAACTGCAACTATTCACTTCCTACTCTTGACTGTACTCTCATGAACAATCGTTCATTTGCCTGCAACAACAAATTCTTTTACCCACCAAACCGCACATCCTCAGCCCAATCATCTCTAACATGATATCCGTTATAGGGCTGTTCAGAAACCGAAATATTTCAGTACAATGATGGCATGGTGCCACCATACCCGGCCTTATGGCAAAACTGCAACTATTCACTTCCTACTCTTGACTGTACTCTCATGAACAATCGTTCATTTGCCTGCAACAATGGACAAATTCTTTGCCTTAACACAACTGTCCCTAGGACCAGCTCGTTCCAATTAGCTACTTAGCCTTCGTCCGGATCTAACAACCTCGGTGGAATTTCATTTTGTGCTACCCACAGAGTTAGTCATTTTCTTTCTAGTTAACGTTCTGTCCTGTGCGTTAGCACCATCTCAAATCTCCGGTGAACTTTCACACCCGACTTCGCCCCAACAGTGACGCCGGTGAGTCTCGTTACTATGATTATAATATTCAAGCTACTTTATATACCGTATTGCGACTGCCCCCACTTACCCTTTTGGAGAGCCTGGTCATAACCAGGTCGCTGCAAAACTGCCGTTTCACCGGATCCGTTGTTCTGGTCATTTCCAGCAATTAGCAGCTTTCTTATCACGTGTCAGGCAGGATGCCACCCGTTCGGCCTTCTTCGTTGTACTTTTGTCCGTAATCATTAAATTCTGACGGTCTGATCTTGTCTAAGTTTGTGAATGCAAAAAACAGTATATCAGTATCCCTCTTACCTCGATATCTATCACCCTTTAAAACATCTGTTCACAGTTAATTTGGCCCGACAGACCCGACGGAATCCATTGGCCGTTGACATTCCATGTTCCCGCATTAACTGTCGGCGCTACTTTTTTTCAGTCCGCGTATCCCTCACGTGGAACAAACTACCAACATCTGTTGTGGATTGTGGTAACCTCGAGACTTTCAAACATTCGCTTGACGAATACATAAGATCTCACCCAACTTCCCTCATCAACATTTGAGATGCAGATTACAAACAATAGAACATATATGTCATATCATTCCGTTTATCTGTATACATACACACACACCAATATCCTTTGGTCATTGTAAAGCAAAATGCTTTTTAGACCAACATAACCTTGATTTAGTATATGTTCACTCATTACCACGTTTGCGTCGGATAACACCCACTTTCCGTCTGACTGCTCTATTTTGGCACAGTCATAGGTAGGTGCCCACAAATTCCATCATTCTTTCTTCTGTTCTGAATGTACTATTAGGAACATATCAATGGTATGCTGCCAATTAGCGTGGAATAGCAATTAACAATAATGTTAAACACAGGGTCGTTGTCCAGGATGTTCTGAAGTCTTCAAGGAAGATGTTCTTCAACTCTTGCTTAAGACAAACCATTTCAGCGAACTAGGACCAGGTTCATCTAGACGTCCTGAAGGAAACCCCTTCCAATTTGGTGGATAATATCCACGTAATGGTTGGTCAAGCACCCGATAAAGGCAACCTTCCGTCTTTTTGAAAGGAAGGAATTGTCCCACCAATCCACAGTGTAAACCGCCACTCTCTCGACAGCTACAGGCCCGATATCCGACATTGAATGAAGATGTTACCACCAAACAGAGCATTTCCAGTGAAAGAATACTCGACCTGCTCTTCTTCGACACCAGTCTTCATTGGAACTCTTTAAGGCTCAGTATCCGGGCCACTCTCGTATCTGATCTACGTCAACGGACATATCGACCATATATGGGTCGAGTGCATCGCCCACGGCATATACATAGGCTACTCGATAACTTTGTCATGGTCACCTATACTTGTTTTCACAGTTATTAACTTGTGCTACTAACGGCGAACGTGTATTTTCAGTCATCAATGAGCTTTTGGTTTTGTAGACTTAAGAAAACTATCCGAAGAACAAAGTACCAGGATTATTGTATTGTGACATGTATCCGTAAGCGTTTTACCACGAGCCGTGGGGATACGCTTCAAATCTTTAGAATTGTGTTTGTTAAAGTAGAAAATTCGATAGAAAAAAGGAACAAATCGAGGTGGCCAGGAAATGATTAGTAGTAATAAAATTTTTAAAAAAATTGTGTATCAACTCAAAATTCTGTCAAAAAAATACAAGTTGAAGACAAATCACAAAATCTGCTGCGGCAAAGGAATGTTGATCCATCACAAGTATGAGAAAATGACGTGGGTAGGATAAACTCGTTAGCAGAGGAAGGCATCACACAATTATAGACAGACAGGTACAAGATGCATGACAGCCAGGTAGAATTACCACAATGATTTTGGTTGGTCAGGTGTGTTAAATGCTTCGATTAGTTGCAGTAGGGTCGCCACTGTGCCGCCAACGAAACTGAGCAAACCAATACAAAGGAAAAACGCGTGCTTTACAACTACCGTGAGCCAGAACCATTTGATATGGTGACGGTCTTCCCACAGATGTACGATTTCCAGAACTGGCGGCAAAATGAAGGCCAGTATTGAACTTGCAAAAGCGCCAATCAGTGAGATCATCAAATCCAGCTTGGGTATGGTGATTACCATGACATCTAGACAAGAAGAGCATAAGGTTGGGTGAAAAAAAGGCAATATGTATGTATGTGCAAAAAAGTATAGTTTTCATTGAACGGACGTCCGATTTGAGATGGATAGTGACAGGGGAACATCATTCACAAAATTAAACACCAGGCATTGTGCGTACTTACGTTTGACAAAAAATCTATTCGAGATGCATCCGGTCCTTGTAATGAGAAGGTATGCAAGCTCTTTCTCTTACGAACACGAATACGTCTCACAGAGACTTGTAACGACATTACATTACAGGACGTCGTGATAAGATCCTTCATTGCTCCCAACTTGGAAAGAGAAGCCGAACAGTGATCGGCTTAACTACCAAGTCATCACCCCAAAACAGTAGCGACAAGTAAGAGGCAAATCGCTCAGCTGTGGGGCGATTTCGGTACGAAGTCGGGATATTGTCAGGTTGCCCAAGCCCAGACAGAGGAAGTCGAGAGACAGAAACCGGGTTCGAACCACGGACCTTCCGGTCAGTAAATTCGCGTTCTAATCGTTGAGCCATACCATCACGGTGGTCAAACTTTAGACGGGATCGGGACAATGAAGTTAACAGAAATATATACACCAATTTTCCAATCAAAAACTATATAAACGCGGATAGACACTGAAAAAGCACCCAGTTGTCTGCACGCTGACGGAACGCTTAAAAGCCGATTGCAAAACTCGGTGGAAAGATCAACAGCCATCTGCTAAACCATCAGTGAATGATATGAAATTCGTTGAATTTACATGATCAGACTTCTAGGCATCTAATACCCTCAAAATTTCTAGTGAGGTTTCATCATATGAGTGGATTTCGGTTGTGCTGCGGGGCGAGGATCGCACATTGAAAATAAATTTTAAAAAAGTGTTCAGCTGTAAAACCCTTCCGGTGCCTAGCTGCCATGCCACCGAGGGAAGCACGAGGGCTGAAGCCTAGACAGCGCACATTACTCCACCTTTGCTGGCTATCACCGCCAACGCGCATCTCAGGAACATTTGAAGTCAGAACCCACGACCTGCCGGTTATTACTTGAACATACCATCTGTCACGAAAGACTGATAGATTCATGGGATATAGTAGTGCTCATGCCTCAGTTACAAAGTTCATGCCCCACTGTCAGTTATCAACTGACCCTTGGAGTGACGACCTTTCAGGTCTCCCTGAGGAGTAAAACAAAATTCAACATCATGACAACAAAGGGCTGCACGCTAACAGTGGAAACATCTTTAGTGATAACAGTACTGTTTGCTTATTTTTGGTCAGACATCCCATTGGTTTTTGACGACTAGTACTGACAGGCACCATAACATGAACAAAGAATAAACAAAAAGTATGTTTCTAGATTAGAATTACCGTGGGAAAATAAATAGATAAGCGAGTCGTGGACAGCCGCCTTCCATATGTTTTCGTTCCAGTCAAGAGTTGTCATTTCTCACTATCGGAACCGATTTACCAAAGGTGTTGGCAAGTAAGAGAGCCGAAAGAAGCTTCATGCACCCGTGGATAAAGTCTCCTCACAGTGTGCGTGTAATAGCTCTGTTTACCAGCGAATTTAATGTTCAACTAACGCGAATCAGTGGATGAAAAGTACCAAAAATCGGAATACGTCAGCACTCGCAAAATGAAAAAATAGAGGCTCAATGCGAGTAGACTTGGTTGCAACGTCACTAGGCATTCTGATCGGGTCTTATGGAACCCACCACGAAAATGCTGCTCTATAGTTTACCAAAAAGAAGTCAAAGGACCTTTGTACTGAAGAATGCTGAGCCCGCGTAAAACCAAATTTCGAAAAAAAATCAGTTATGATCTTTGTTCCAATCTCTAGATGTAGGACTGACTGATACAACTTGGACAAGCTGACATAACTGGCAATAGTTCGAATTCTGCAACACCCATGTTCATGGTATGCGAGTGCCATAACGAGAGAATTTTCAGCGAATAAAACAAGGCGCAATGAGTAATGCATTTCCGACATAAGACAGATCAAACGGATGGAAAGAAGCGAACCACCTGTACCGGTGCTTGAGCCGCCGGCCTTTTATGTGGACGGAATTAGACACATGAGGCGATGTACGGACACGCCGACGTTTTGTTTGGCGTGTGGACAAACCTATGAGGTTCCAGTGACATCATCACCGACAGCATGAAATCAGTGTTGGCAATTTGATTGCAAACGTTCCATCACCAGTCAAGGTGATATCCTCAGTGCGTTATTAGGAAGCGTAGTGGTGCGTAGCGGTGGGTTAGTGGCTGTGCGCTGAGTAGTGTTACGCGCGTGTTAATATACGTGCTGCTAGCAGGGGATGACCTTTGATCGCGATTAATTTTTCGGTCGGGTGCTTCCATTGGTTGCCCCGTTGTCCTGTGTCCCCATTTGCCAATGCCCACACGACGTTTGAGCTTGTCATCCCCTGTAATCGTAATCTAGTGACATGTAATGATGCCCGCAACAAGTGAGGGGGGGTGGTCGAAACATCATCGACAGCACCGATGATTCGCTGCAGTCATCAACACCGACAGAAAGACCTACATGCAAACATCACCAAAAGTGCGCGCATCACTTTCAAGTTGATATACCGCCTTCTTTCGGATGCCTCTCGATGACAACGCAACTTCTCCATCAGGCGGGCGAAAATTGATGCAGGAATGTAGAATTGCAAGAGATAGGTGAAGCAGATAGCCACAACAAACAGTGGTTGAACCGGGCTAAACCACCTGTGATGGAAAATGTAAAACACGGGACAAAGTATCAGTAGGCAGTAAGCAATATATGACTGTGTTTCATAAGCTTAGTAGCAATCAACACGACGTGGAAGGGAAATCGTTACTGTGTTCGGGACACTGAACGAACTTTTGATTCGGATATGTTTGTAAGCCGACGGGAAAAAGCTGGATGCCAGTGGAATGTGATCGTGACTGTTTGTTCAACTCACACCTGTCGTCGGCAACAGCAACCGCTCCGTATGCAGCCTTCAATGCCGGGAAAAACTACATTCAGACAATGTCGAAACGACTTCGACAGAAAACTACCGCCTTCAGAGAGCCCTTGAAGTTTGTACCAATCTCACCATGCATCAACTGTTTCGCTAATACTTATGCTGACTGCCGAATTCCACTGCTAATTCCAAATAAAAAAATTATATAGGAGGAGGAGGGGAAGGCAATAATCGAGATTGGATTGGTGCAATGAGTGCTCGATCTGCTCAATCAGCTTAAGCTCCTGTTCCGATGGAACATAAAGCACTTCGGTTGCACCGCTGGTCAGAGGCAAACAGTTGCTTTCTGGCTACTAAGCATGACGATCGTTTCACAGTTTTGAAGCCTCGGTGAAGAGAGTACGAGGTCATAACCCCTCCCCTCTTCACAAGCAGACGAACGTCATACCATTGACAAAAAGCCAGAGCACACGTTAGCGATTCCATCACTCATTTCGCTTGCAACGATGCATGCAAGCATGATAGCGAAATTAGATCCCATTCAAAAAATAGATAAATGCTTATTATCATGAATGGTACAAGTGTCATTACGATACTAGGGTTTGGTCCAAATCACTGAACTGCCACCCTGGCTATTTGGTAACTTAGGCTACTTGGTTAGTTGCAATCGAGTGCTGATAAACTGACTGACTAACAAAGGTCAGTCAATGATGTGAAAACAAACAAACCTCGCACGTGCACACAACGAATCGAAAATTGCCGGATGTGTTTCGATCTGCGTCAGGCTGTTCTGCGTAGCAATTTAATTGATTGAAACTAGGACAGTCACCGGATCGTCAGAAAAACAACTCAGCGCGAGCATGTCCGTCTGTTCAAATTCGATAACTTAGTTGAGGCGGAGAATGGATTGACTCCAAGTACCTTGATGCCACCGTTGTCAACGGTTCAAACTCACAAAGCAGGTGAGAAGTAGCTCAGTGCGCGGGTTTTGTCTCCAGGTTGCCGAGCACCACAAGGCTGCGTGGCCAAACATCACGGAATATGCAAATACATCCGAGGAGTCTTAGAATCGCACCTGCATCAGCAGTCTTTTTTTTATGGAAAAGCAAGACAGAAGAGCTCTGAGTTAAACGATCTATCCGAACAACTTTCCACGGATTCTGGTTATCTGGGAAAACGTGTGCACGTATTTCACGAAGAAATCAGAGACAAACGCAAGTAAAGGAATCTTACAAAATATGATTATGTACTGGAAATTTCGCATTTTGTCAAATGGTGCGGTTTCGGTTAGATAACACAAACCAACAAACGAGAGAGGAGGCACTTGTCTTGGGGCCGGTGTTACCCTTTAATACAAAAAAAAAACAGATGACACTGGACACTACAGCTGAACCCGAGAAATCGTGAAAACAGTTCACTATAGCAGGGATGAATCTGAATGTTCAATCCAAAGAGGAAGACAGGTGGATAGTTAATTGCGTAATGATAAAGGTCAAAGATTAAACTTTGAATGCCTTAGCCCTGATCTCGAACTGCAGGTGTTTGAAGAACGTATGAATAATTAGGATTCACATAATGTCACCTAGTTGCTCCGGAGGAACGAAGTACACACAGCAGTCTCTCATGCATGATTACTCAATGGATGATGATGTGATGACCCTTCAGTCAACCGATGAGATTACACTAACTGGACTGTCCATGTGTGATGGGTCACACCACCCAGGGGTTCGCCGAATTCTACTCAAAATCAAACCAGTAGCGACCTAAGAGATCGAAATCCTGTTAAAAATACGAAAAGAATATCACCAGATCAACAAACTTACCAAGGGGAATGGGGAATGTTCAGTGTGATGGTCCCCTCGGCCTTTTCACCAAATTTGAGATAGCCAAAGAAGCCGAACGCGGCATTCAAAGAAATAATGATGGTCATACCAACACTGAGTACGCCGAACGGGTGCAGGTAAAATTCAGGATGAGCCATTTTACTCTCAATTGGGAGAACCTTGAGGAGATAAAATACACGAAAACAACCAGTCTCAGTGAACTGTGGACGAGTAGAACGTGAGGGAATTACGTTCGCGAGGAGTCTGAGAATAACAATAGAACCTGACCACACGACTGGGCAACGATCCCCTGTAGCGGTAGTATCGAAAGTTCTACACCACTCGAATCAGCAAATCAAACTCCTCAAAGTGGGAAATGGTGAGCCTATGGGGCGCCGTTCTGATATAAGTATGCAAATCTCCTGTATTTTCTGACTACCCAAAGGCAGTTGCCACAGTATTGACAAAAAGCAGTTCAGACGTGACAGGATAAGCTCAGCGAACTGAAAGAAACTGGATAGTTAATACTCGGGACCTTGTCATGAACATTAAGCAGCAGCAACGCGTTAAGTGATTGCGGCAAGATCCTTTAATAACCAGACAGGTTTGGTTAAAAGCAGGCACCGGAGGAATCCTAGTGCGTAAATTCGAGATCGAAATCAAGCCACGATCGACCAGCCAACGAGGTCCGGTTCATTCAAGATAATCGATAATCGTTCAGCTGTAGCTCCCTTTCGGTGCTCAGCTGCCATGCAACCCAAAGGAAGCACGAGGGCTGAGATATTGAGCGGCCGCCCAAGTCTAGACATGGTACGTCGAAATACAGAGGTCGGGTTCGAACCACGGACCTCCCGGTCAGTAAATTCGCGCTCTAACCGCTGAGCTATTTTGTCTTACTCAACCATGCAGTTAGCACCAGAGAAATCAGTAGAAATATATGTTTGAAAGCAGAAAATGTCTATGCTGGCTGACATCACGCTAATCATCTAATAAAATCCTGCATCAAATTAATTTCTACCGTTAATGAAGACACACGACGACGAGTTCTCAGTAATTCACAAAACAATCCAGAGTACTAAAGAACGTGGGCCACAACAACAAATATCATAATCATTCACCTGTAGCACCCTTCCGGTGCCTAGCTCTCATTGCATGGGGACCGAGATACTGCCTGGTTGCCCAAAACTAGACAGGAATGGTCCAGAGACGGAGGCTGGGTTATAACAATGGACATTCCGGTCTGTAGGTCCGTAAGTCAAATGCTGAGCCACCTCGTGCCCCACAAAGAACCCGCACTATTACGCAGCTGTGCTGGTCATTGCCGCCTCTGTGGATGCGGAATCCGAGAAGAGACGCACTAATGTCAGACACGTTCCAGTTGCGCACTCAATGGAGCAGACACCTCCAAGCTGTTGCCTTGAGTGCACAGCTTTCCCCCTCCCGATCTCTCAAATGAAAAATTGCCGAAATCCTTGCGTTGACGTAGCAAATGTACCAGCTACCGCCTCCACTGCGTAGCTATCTACCAGCATCTCCATAAATAATCGGCGAATGGAACTGTGGTAGCTTTAAGCAATGTACGGCAAGTACGCAGTTTTTACAGCTGAAGATGACGATGAAGTGTGTGTGCGAAGAAAGAACGAGCCAAGTTACAATTGTGGTGTAAGGAGTACCCTAAAACGTTGGTTTTAGGCATCCGACTGCCTAATGAATTGCAAGTCGAGGAAGTTAAATCGACTTCTCTCAGCTCCGTAAGTAACACTGAATGACAAAACTGGTGCGAGGGTGACGGATTTGGGTGTATAGTCTAGCAGACGCCTAGGAATTTGTCCACTCCATTCGTCACTTGAAGATATCGAACCCTCCTGCCCATAATTATCCCCCAGCCAGACAAGCAAAAGAGGGCACAGGGTCATAATACTCACTCTGCTAGAAACAACTCGACATGGCTCAGTGCTTCAGACGCGAAGCTACCGACCGAAAGGTCAGTGGCTGGAACTCAACCCTGCCTGTCCAGGCTTGTTAAACCTCGTAAAAGCTCAACCCCGTAATTCATTCGAGCTGCACGGCAACTATTAATAGAAAGGATGCCGTCGTGAACGACTTATTTTATTTACTTTGATAACGTAGTCTGCTGCTAACCGCAGGAGTAATGTCGACAAGGTTACCGTTGTGTGGTCGTTGGCTTGTTCGCTCAGCTGGGCAATTTGATTGCAAACGTTTCTTCACCAATCGACGTGACATCGTCAGTGCGTTATTGGGGAGCGTAGTCGTGCGTAGCGGCGGGTTATTGGTTGTGCTGTTGTGTTGTTTTGAATCCAAATATTCAACGTGCTCATCCCCGTCTCATTGGACGCGAGTTTCCGAATTTTATTCTAGCCCGGAAGAACAAAACCAGTGTCGCATGTTTTCGCCTAACACGATAGTGTCTACAGTTTTATACCAAATTGCGCCAAGCTGTTCCCATTCGTTCAAAGGTTCAGATGCCTCTGGTATCCTCATTCGCAACTTGGTGGATTAATAACTGTAAGCACTAGGTCTCAGTATACCCAAAACCGGCGCAGATCGTGAAAGACCGGAGTCTCTCGCACACTTCCATGCACTACAGTTAGTACATTTTCCGAAATTGACCAATAAAAGCGCAGTTTGTGATTCCAGTCCCATGATAGCAACGGTGAATGAAGTGGCTGGCCAAACAGCGCAATGTTGGTCAGGTCGACCAGTTTCATCTATAAGCAGCGTTACGCTTTACGTGACCAGCACCCATAGTGTACCCACAAGTGAGTGAGCTCTGTGTGAGTTCACTCGTTGGGTGTCCAGTCCCGGTGGTGGATTAACGCAGTAATACACTAGACACTGCGCAGTTCCCACAGAAGACTTATTTCCTCCACACCTGTCATCCGGGTGCATATAAGTTTTGTCGTACCCTTCATCATCCCACCAGTATGGCTGGATTCGTGGGATGGTTTATTTGAGTGTCAAGCAAGCGTTCTAAGACCCAGATTGGCACCCGAATTGAGGTCGTCGAACTCTTAGGATAATCAGCTGATGCCTGGCCAAAATTTACCGCCAGTCTGCCTAAGCAAAACGTTGTTGTTGTGGTTGAGAAAGAAGATACGGTCTGTAACCATCGATAGTTCAGAGGTTGTAATGAGAAGCTAGACACACAACGGAGAAGATATCTACTAGCCACAGAATAAAGTAGTGCGGTAAACTCACCAGGCTGATACCTTCAAAAGAGAACATCACAATACTGAAGCCAATCAGAATTCCACGAGGATTCGTATACACCGGTAAGGTAGAAAAAGGCAACAGCCCCGAACTCAGAAGATAGGCAAATATGAGCATTGCTCCCACAGGGTCATAATACTCACTCTGCTAGAAACAACTCGACATGGCTCAGTGCTTCAGACGCGAAGCTACCGACCGAAAGGTCAGTGGCTGGAACTCAACCCTGCCTGTCCAGGCTTGTTAAACCTCGTAAAAGCTCAACCCCGTAATTCATTCGAGCTGCACGGCAACTATTAATAGAAAGGATGCCGTCGTGAACGACTTATTTTATTTACTTTGATAACGTAGTCTGCTGCTAACCGCAGGAGTAATGTCGACAAGGTTACCGTTGTGTGGTCGTTGGCTTGTTCGCTCAGCTGGGCAATTTGATTGCAAACGTTTCTTCACCAATCGACGTGACATCGTCAGTGCGTTATTGGGGAGCGTAGTCGTGCGTAGCGGCGGGTTATTGGTTGTGCTGTTGTGTTGTTTTGAATCCAAATATTCAACGTGCTCATCCCCGTCTCATTGGACGCGAGTTTCCGAATTTTATTCTAGCCCGGAAGAACAAAACCAGTGTCGCATGTTTTCGCCTAACACGATAGTGTCTACAGTTTTATACCAAATTGCGCCAAGCTGTTCCCATTCGTTCAAAGGTTCAGATGCCTCTGGTATCCTCATTCGCAACTTGGTGGATTAATAACTGTAAGCACTAGGTCTCAGTATACCCAAAACCGGCGCAGATCGTGAAAGACCGGAGTCTCTCGCACACTTCCATGCACTACAGTTAGTACATTTTCCGAAATTGACCAATAAAAGCGCAGTTTGTGATTCCAGTCCCATGATAGCAACGGTGAATGAAGTGGCTGGCCAAACAGCGCAATGTTGGTCAGGTCGACCAGTTTCATCTATAAGCAGCGTTACGCTTTACGTGACCAGCACCCATAGTGTACCCACAAGTGAGTGAGCTCTGTGTGAGTTCACTCGTTGGGTGTCCAGTCCCGGTGGTGGATTAACGCAGTAATACACTAGACACTGCGCAGTTCCCACAGAAGACTTATTTCCTCCACACCTGTCATCCGGGTGCATATAAGTTTTGTCGTACCCTTCATCATCCCACCAGTATGGCTGGATTCGTGGGATGGTTTATTTGAGTGTCAAGCAAGCGTTCTAAGACCCAGATTGGCACCCGAATTGAGGTCGTCGAACTCTTAGGATAATCAGCTGATGCCTGGCCAAAATTTACCGCCAGTCTGCCTAAGCAAAACGTTGTTGTTGTGGTTGAGAAAGAAGATACGGTCTGTAACCATCGATAGTTCAGAGGTTGTAATGAGAAGCTAGACACACAACGGAGAAGATATCTACTAGCCACAGAATAAAGTAGTGCGGTAAACTCACCAGGCTGATACCTTCAAAAGAGAACATCACAATACTGAAGCCAATCAGAATTCCACGAGGATTCGTATACACCGGTAAGGTAGAAAAAGGCAACAGCCCCGAACTCAGAAGATAGGCAAATATGAGCATTGCTCCAATTAGGGTGGCTAGATTAGCCACCGCGGACAGATGGGCGAGAACGCGCATGCTGCTCCATAAGCTCATGGGGATGAGGCAAACGCACACGATGAGTGCAACGACATAGAAATTGAGGTACAGGTCAGGAAAGAAAGCGTGCAGAAACTGTGGGAAGAATGGATACAAACAAACGAGGTAAAGCAAAAATAAAGTAAACGTTAGGGACATTTGCTTCAACCGTGTATGCACTGACACTCGCTATTCACAAAGAATGAACGGACATACTGTTTGTGACCAGCAGCGGTGGACGTGTTAAATACACTCTCGAAACCTAGACCCAGTGGCGACCTGATCAATTTGAGTCCATATCTACAGAGATTACAGACAACCGCAGCTAGTGAATCGGCGTCTCGAACGATGGAAGTTGGTGCTAGCGATGAACAGATATTGTTCCAGGCAAAAAGCTAAGAAACCTGACTGCACAGATGGTGTCGTGGAAGACCATCCCGCCGGATAGGCGTATGGATGGACAGTGGAGCAGCCCACGCAGACACTGAAATACCTCATTCTTTGTCGTGCGTAGTGGGAGGATAGACGGAATTGACGGAAAAAGCACTAGTTTAGGGCAGCGCTGCACAAGCTTTACATGGCCCATCAATTATGGCAGCATGTGATCAGTCTACCAAGACAGCCTAGGGTGTCCCACTCAAGGAAATATCGACACCTGCTTGAACTTTCTTGCTGTCCGGGAAGAAACATGCACAGAATTCGAATGTCACTAGGATTCGTATTAAACCAGCTCATTGAACTATGTGCTTTAGTGTTTGAGCAATATAATCGGCAAGCCTGGCGATCATACAGAGATGAACTATGGACACAGAACCCTGAGAATCAGGTAGGCCGGACTATGGGTTACCTAGGAAGGTTCGATAATACATCTGGATAGCAGAAACACGAATTCAGGGCGAATTTAGAGGAACCGGAAAGTTGGAGAAAAACAGGGTTTTGTGGGCATAGAAGGGCCAATCATACTTGAGGTCAAATAGGGCAGACGCACATGTGGGAAAAACTCCGATGGTTTGTTTTTCTGAGGGCAACATACTACTGGACTGCCCGGCCAAGGTTGAATTCAGGAGTCCCACTCGAAGCCATTAGTTGGAGCACCCGATAGAGACAACGAACAGGATCTCCAAGTTGATCCTCTGTTACAACGGAAGTCATATTTAACGAGGGCTTGTACACTAGTCCTGCGGATGAACAACGTTTCATCCGTTTCAAATACATTTTTAAGAACCCGAAAATTCCCGCTGCTCTAAGGAGCAAAAATGTCTCCGGGGATAGACCAGAAATGGAACAAATTTTGTCTGATATCCACGAAAGCAACTTCTTTGTTCGCAACATCAACTCAATTAAACAGAGGCTACTTACCAGGTAGAAAGAACTAGAAGTTACGAATTGAGTGGCAAAACACTAGTTGTAATGAACAGATCGGTTTACAATGAACCATGAGTGAAAGTGTCGAGGCAAGCTCACTCAAGTCTTTTTGTTGCCAGTTACAAGTACAATCAGTACGCTATCGAAAGCCTGCTCAGTTCGCCCCGTAAAGTTTACACAGTCTAGTTTACAAGAAAACAGTCTCGTCCTCAGTAAAGCTATCGCCAAAAGGTTGATCTGATTGTGACCCCAAACCTTTGGTCAAAGAAGATCAAAAGCTTCTCCAGTGCAATATGCATTCGAGAGCACGCTTGGATGTTAGGAAAATGGTGGGCTGAGTGTGGGAGCCGAATACGACCTTGAAATTCGCTCCAGCTCGTCCAACATTCATCACTTCGCGCCTGCAATGAGTGGGCTTGAAAACACAAATATAGCTCCAAGTAGGCAGTATTTGTGAGGCGACTGGGATTTTGCAATTGTTCCCTGAACCTGCCACGGGAACATGGGCTTTTCAACTAGTCGCTGGTGTTCACATGACCCAGAAAAGATCTGATATCCCCTGATCATGACAGTTCGACCGAGTAACTTGAAAGTCTCATCATGATACCGCCCACTCGTTTAGTGTACTGTAAATTTGCTGGCAATTCATGAGAAACACTACCCAATTTTTGGCCAAGCAGTCAAAATCTCACCAAAAAGGAATGATATAGTCTTCAGCAAGCAATGAAAAAGTGACCAAGAATAACACTGCTTACATGAGGGGACTATTGTATTTCAACTGACGAGATGAAGCCTCCGTTTGCTGTCAGCCATACTTTTGCTTCAGTGAAAACTGGAGAAATCTCCCTGGAATGCAGCGAACTCGTACCTATGTAGGCAAGATTGAACCATGTCAAGGTCCGTTTATATGCAGTCACTGCGTTCAATTACGCTGCCGAACAACGTGACACGCAGCGCAGGTGCCAACGTAAACCGCTCAAACCAGTTAACAGGGACGTTGGTCAAACTGACAACCAACAAACCGCCCGAAAAACTGCACTTCACTCGCGAGGATAGACATCCAAGAAGCTAACATCATATAGCTGTATTAAGGCGTGTTGGTTGCGATCAGGTATAAACGAGTCGTTTGCCAACTCTTCTAGTTAAACCTCAGAACATAGTGCATCGTAAATTGCTGCAAGAACCCGCTTTCATTAGATAATGAATCGGGGAATAAAAAGTCAGATATCTAGCAGATATCTATGTATGATCAGGTCCACTTAATTTTCGTATCTCCCTGGTTTACCTCACAGCCGTCCCACGAGTGCTTGTGGGAAACGTGGTCTGTACCTGAATACCGGCTTCACTAGACTGACAGGGTGCTATGCGGCCTCGTTCCCTTCATCTGATTCTCATCTTGTACTTCTGATTCTGTCATTAAAGAATTGATAGGTGCCGCAGCCTCAGTCGTTCTAGTTCTCACAGATTCGTTACTTTACATCTCACAGTAACAGAGGGTTACGCGTTGTAAACAATCATGTATATATGCACCTTTGAGTTAAACAGTACAGTTGTGCAAGACTGAGCTCCAGTCAACCAGTGTTAGGCTAAGAAACATGATGAACAGAAAACGACTGAGAACGTACATAACGTAGATTGTCCGTGATAAACAGAGTGTAGACACAGGAAAATCCAATTTGTGTGACAATCAGGAAGACATTTACTGTATGCCTGAAAAAAAAGCACATTGGTCGAAATGTATTAATCTCTCCAACGAGAGCTTACTTGATCTTCCCTTTGGGTTTTCGCAGACAGGGAGGTCCATATTTGAACACATAAAAAACGGTTTCGGTATAATCCATTTTTGAACGGTCTAAATTATATCTGGCGACAGAACAGATGTAAGGTTGCGTGAAAAACTGAGATTTACTTTTCTCGCACAGACCGAGAGGTGCGTACCAATACTTTCATGAGATAGCTTGCCACAGAGCCAGCAAAAATGATCATGAAAAAGCCTGTCTGAATGAAAATGTTAAATGATGTGATCAAGCCATTTCTCACCCATAATCCCGAGTACCGAAGAACCACAGGCATAGACAGTACTCCAGTGCCAATATTACCCTTAATGAAGTTCATAAGTGTATGCGGTTCACTGGTTGCGAGAGAGGTTTTGAAGTAAAAGTAAAGAACAGAAGGAATTACGTAAGATTTTCGCCGAGATTATGTGGGTCTGCGACAATCAAGATGCTTTCTTCCAAATCGTCGACGGTAGAAACGCTGAGCGCATCCGTCGCTGGAGGCGTCTCCTGATTGTTGACGTGTCTTTTGTCGGAAGACATCAGTCCGACGTAAGCAGATAAGCGCTTCTCACAGGTTGGTAATGATACCGAGTAAAAGAATAACCCAGGAGTAACAAAGCAACTAACGTGACTGAAACAGTAAACAGGAAAGAACTGAGGGAAACGATGGCAGATACATAAACCCTCCAAACATTCGAATATTGAATACCGATTGTCAATATATTTATTAAGGGAAACGACAAACTGTCTAGCCGATGTAAACTTACCTATCACGAATACCTATGGATGTGACTGGATACAGCGCTCCAACCAGCAGTAGTATCCAAGGTTAATTGTTTGTTCGTTGTTCAGCCAAAACCATACGGGTGAAGTGCACATCTGCGTATGAGTAAACTGTCCTTTGACACAGGGGGTTCAGCATAACAGGAGTTTTGGCGTGCTCAGACTACGTGCAGCGTTTATGAGGGAATGAATAAACTCTAGCAGAACATTAGGAATGATCACTGCTATGTATGGGCGAGTGGAACGATGCAGATTCTCATGACACCGAATGGAAGTGATCATTTAAGAAGACTCTATTCTTGATATATGAACATTAGAATTCATTCAAAGGTAAACAATCGTGAATTTCATACAAAGACAGGTGTTTCAATCACCAAGGACAATGTTCCATTCAGTCGAACGGATGGGGGGAGGTGTAAGCTTAACCCGGATTGCAACGCGACTACTGGCGTCACTTGTGCTCCTTAAGGTGGCTCACGAAACATGGGCTGGAGAGCAGCGAGTGGCGTGTCAGCCTGATAGGGGATGCGTTGACCAAATCTTCACAGTCCGTCAGGTTTTAGAACGCTAAACGACCAGGCGTTTTAGTATTCCTGGATTTCCAAGGCGCATTCGACTCGGTTGACCGGTCTGTCCTCTTTGACATGCTTGCTCACCAAGGAATGCCCCGGATGATCATGAACGTAATAAACTCTTTGTATTCCCGGACTTCCGGACGTGTGAACGTATACGGCGAGCTCTGCAAAAGCTTCCGTGAACAAAGTGGAGTCCGACAGGGATGCCCTCTCCTCATTCTCGTTTGATTTCGTGATCGACAGAATCATGATGAACGCTGGAAGGTCTTCGAAACCCTGGCGTTCAAATGGCCGAAAACGAAAACCTTGTCGATATGGAATATGTGAACAAAATCGTTCTCATTTTCGAAGAGAAGGCGCAGGTGTTTTGAGATCAACCATCCAAAGTCCTTTGGTACGCGCAAAATATGGGCGAGACGGACCAAGTGGTTAGAGCTCGAATTAACTGACCGGAAGGTCCGTGGTTCGAACCCGACCTCTGCCTCTCGACTTCCCCTGTCTAGGCTTGGGTAACTTGGCAGTATCTCAGCCCTCGTGCAACCTTCGGTTGGCGTGGCAGTTAGGCACCAAAAGGGTGCTACAGCTGAACGATTTTTTATGCGCTTTGCACCCACTAAGTGTAAGGCCATGCTCGTGGGAACGAAGTCACTGAAAAGTCCACTTACAATCCAGCGGGAGGCACTCGAAGTTGTGGGGCGTTTCAGACATCTTGTAGGTTGTACTAGTTCTAACTGTAGTGAAACAGATGAGTTAAATGCATGAATCTGCAAGCCTCGGGTCGCGTTTGCTAATTAGAGACACCTATGACGTCAAAGCAGTATATCTCTGAACCTGAAGGGGTGTGTCTATCATGCTAGAGTGCGGGCTATTTTGTTATATGAATGTGACACCTGTTCGAGCAGCGGGACCGAGACGTCTTCAGGTTTTACACATAGCAAGTGTAGGTTGGTATCGGAGAATCTGTAAAGAAGTAGTTAGAGAGATGTTGTGCAACGGGAACTTCCATTGAAGAATGTGTCCAGCACCAGACGCTGCTTTGGTCGGGCCATATATTGCGAATGCCAAACCATTGCTTGCCGAAAAGAGTGCTGTTTTCCGTACCCAGTTCAGAGTGGCGGAAGCAGAGTGGCAAACCCCTGACCTGGCAGAGGGCTCATTCTCCCTGTGACTTTTTGTGCAGTCTCTAAACGTAAGCCCTACTCTTTGTAACAAGTGCGCATGCACATAATAATCTCAACCGAAAGTATATTCCGCATCTCAATTGGGCATTGAGCTCGAGATGGCTCAGCGGTTAAGGTGCGAGTTACGGGCCGGAAGGTTCGTGGTTCGAATTTAACCTCAGCATCTCCACCGCTCCTGTCTGGGCAACCTGGGAATATCTTAGCCCTCGTGCCTTGTTCGTGTACCATGGCAGCTAGTCGTTGCAGCTAAACGACTGTTATTATTAAATTCGGCTTAAGTTTTCTTCCAAGAAGGCCTATTGCTTGAGCCCGCCACCGATTTGCCAGTGTTTGGGTCTTCATTACATAACAGTTGCGCATTGAATCGGCGGTAAAACTGATTCAGATTATTGTGCCAGTGATGTCTTTGTTTCAAGTGAACATATCGTAGTAAATTATTGACTTGAACATTCATAACCGGTTTGTCCATTAAAACCAGTAGGTGTGGCCGTCAACGTTGATGCACTTGAAATGGTACGTTTAATTCACCTGAAAACAAATGGGGACCACTGCTGTTATTTGATAATCATCATCGCTGCTCCCGGCGGAAGTGTGACAACACCAGTGCTTAAATGCTGACAGAAAATAAAAAAGCGAATCCAGCTGGGTCGTATATAGCGAATCAATCATCACTGAACACGAGCAGTGAATAAGTTGAAAGGTTATATTTATTAAGAAGCCAATAAAAGCCACTAATGAAACAGACCGGATAAACGCAGTTGACTGATTCGGTGACATCACATATAGTGCTCCGCGCTGGTTCCCGAGTGTCAGGAAGGTATGAATTCTGAAAATTGTCCCAGAACGCCCGAAACCTACTGAGACACTAACCCCACCAAAATCGCATTATGGCACTCATCGAGCATCTAGGTCAGAAAAGTCAGCTTCCGATCGAACGCTCAAGCAGTCAGTCAACGCATCCAACGAGTGTTGGGACATTTTGTAGGAGCAAGGATGATGATGATGGGTGTTTACCAAACACTGATCAGACAGCCTAGATCAATGTCAAAAGTGCGCTTTAAATACTGCTTGTTCGCAATACGGTTGCTGTGTACCTTGTTGGCGAACATTCTTTCGACACTAAGGCTCTTGAGCGGAGACAGCAGTCATACACAACACCGAGCAGGGATGAAACTTTCCCAGACAGCAAATTAGGCACTCAAAAAAGAGACAGTTCCCATAGTCGACGTATTTTCCATTTCAACTACAAATATATTTTAATCAATGAAGCCAGAGTATGTGGATGGAAAACGTAAAAGAAAAAGTCCTCAGCTCAACCAGACAAGCAGCGTCCGAGAAATATTAGAACACAATTACCTTTTGCAGTGAAACTGGCTGAGAAAGAGAACGTTTTCGTTGCAGTGCGCTTCCAGGTCACATAAGCGCTCCGAAGCAACCATTATGCCTATGTACAAGGGATCAACCAAATGTTCAGCCACTCAAGCCAAAAAGAATCCCACAATGGTGATTTTTTGGATACACTCGCGCTATTTGCGGCTGTCATTCCTGACAATTTCTCCGTCACGGAGTGACTGAAACAATTGTGCCGGCATTTCCCGTCGGACATTGCTGCCTTGCGACCAGGATTTTGAGCCAAAGGTTTTGGTGCCCTAGCAGTATCTGAGGCCGATTCATACAAGTAAAAAATACTGTCATGTCGAACCGCCTGTCGCCAGGTCGCTCTACTAGCTGCATACATCAGCGCGCGTAAGCAACAACAGGTGACTGCTGACAGACCTCTCTCATTCCTCCTGTACATACTTTTTCTTTTCCTCCCGCACCCCATTAATTCTCTCCTGGTAGGCTTGACGGTAGGATTGACGATCCCGTTCTTCGTCGACCTAAGCGACTCATTTTGATGTTTGCATTATGAAGCAAGCGGAGCTACAGACTACTGTTACTCTCATAATAAATTTGCTCCACATCAATGCATGTTACTCACCAGGATCAAGAACTCAAGGTACAAACATAACCACCGAGTCAACTGCCCCATCAACCTCTACTCGCATACAGCTGCGCACCTTTGGCGATCCATGGACTACTGCGACAGGATATGCGGTGACCTGCATTATCCAAAGTCTTCGGACGGAACGATCCTTGCTCGACTGGATACCAATGGAAAGTCGCTTCTGTGGGTGTTGGGGTACGCGATACGGAACTGTGAGTGAAGCGTAGGTTCGACAACCCCGAATATCAAAAGGAAGAATTGGGTCCGCAATTCTACGCTACAATTTACACAGGGGTAAGCAAATGTGTACAACAAACCTCAGTTGTTCACGTTCGTAGCGTCAACAAGTTCACAGGTCTGTCACTGACCGGCACAGTGCAGTATCAACGTCCGCACACCAAACAACGGCGAGCAGAATGATGGCTCAGTAGTGTGGGTTGCGGTCGTCCCTTCCGACGACAGTCTTGTGATTCTCATTGGCCGTGCGATCACACGGAACTCATGAGAAAACAAGTCAAGGCAAGATCAGCAAACGGGACATGAACGCGCATGGGTAATTAGGTCAGCTGCGCAGATTCATACACAAACACACATACCAATACACAAGTGTCGGACGGAATGGCCTTTGCGGCAAAGTGAGTGGCGGGTACGGGTAAGCAAAACAACTGGAGATCAAAAATACATAGGCGGAGTAAACTAATGAATAAGGGATTATGATAAGGTCTGGTTAGATTTGATAGTCGAATTCGTCTGGCAACGTCCGTGACCGTTTTCCGCTCGTCGTGTCCGCTTACCATTCAGAAGACTATGGCGCTGACACCATCAAAGACGACTTGAACGCCCTGTTACAGTGGGATCAAAGCTCACACCGTTGTGATAGCAAGAGAATCTGAGTAGACAGATTTCGTGTATCTGAGACTCAACTAGGTGACTGACTGGATTTGAAGCGGTGCGCACAAATCGTTATATACTGACCGCGGACTGTGATGATGAAATAATAATCGTTCAGCTGTAGCACCCTTTCGGTGCCTAGCTGCCATGCCACCAGAAGGAAGCACGAGGGCTAGGATACTGCCAAGTTGCCCAAGCCTAGACAGG